GGTTGGTTGGTTGGTTGACAAACTTGTATGCTTATAGCGGTTTTTCCATGACAACTTTTGTTGCCAAAGGGGGGAGGAACAAAAGATATGGGGGGTGCGAGAGGGGAAAAAAAACGGGCATATGGGCTGTTGGCGAAGATTGAAGGGACGAAAGTTTCAATGGCTTTCTTTTTTGATCTTTGTCCCTTTTTTTCTCTTTCGACTCTTGCTGAGCTTGTTGCACTAGAGGGGCCTGAGAAAATGCGATATGAAGTATAATGTTGAATTGATTTTGATGATTCACATTTTTCTTGGGACTGGTGATGGTGTTGTTGATGATGATGATGATAATGATGCCTGTTGGGAGGGGCGCTTAGTTTTTGTTTGGTATGAAGTGACGTATGTATACGTGTTGTGTTGCATGAGGAAGCAAGGTTTCCCTTGTTGAAAAGCATGTGAAAGGTCACAAAGTTTAGGAATCTGAAAAGTAAGGGAGAGAGAGAGAGAGAGAGAGAAGAAAATTGCACAGGATTGCCAAAGGGTGAATCTAAAGTTTGATTACGACACATGCAATACTTGTGATACTTTCTTTAAGAGCATTATATAAATCAATAAAAAAGGAAACGTTGACATTTGAAGCATAAATAAGGAAAAGAGGTATCAAGCGTGATTACACAAAAAGAAAAGGTTCAGAGAAGCCCCCTATACTCCAGCCTTTCGCCCAACCAAATTTGCCACATTTTCGTCGTCATTGTTCACATTGTTCAAGTCTTCAATGGCGTTCCTAGCGTGATTATTTTTTTCTTGTTGTGAAAACCTTCGTTTGTGTTGAACGTGGTTCTGATCGTAGTAGGGTGCTTAGGCCTTGGCTGGTGGAGGGCCTGGTGGTGGTGCATAACCGCCTCCGCCATAGCTAGGCTGAGGAGGTTGAAGCTCGACACCATTCTGCTGACCGTAGTAGTTTTGGTTTGCACCGCCGCCGTAGTAACCGTTGTTGTTGTTTGTGGCAGCGTCATAGGGCGGGGCGGGTTGGTTTGCGTAGTATGGCTGGGCGTTGTACTGGTTGTTTTGGTTGTTGTAGAGACCAGGACGAGCGGCCCAGCCTGTTCCGTAGAAGGGCTTGCGACCGGCCTTGCGGCGACGACGCGCTGTTAAGCAGCTGTAAGTGCGGGTTAGTTTGTGCTTCCTGAGAACGCATGTGGTGATAGACAATGGGACTTACGAGCAGAGTACAAAGAGTAGGAGGAAGCCGACGACGACAACAACGAGGACCACCCATCGGACCCAATTGTTCCAGGCTGAGCTTCTGCAGCGCCTGTAGCCATATGCGTCGATGTAACACCTAGCCATGGTGTGTTAGAGTGATGTTTGTCGGAGTAAAAGTTGTCGCAATGCGAAAGAGTAGTAGTGGTGAAGGAGGATGCGTGGAACTGGGGCTGAAAAGCTTGGAGGAAGCCAGGGTACAAAAACAAAAGAGCTGGCTTGATATTGGCAGAGGCAGAGTATGAGAAGATGCCGATGGAAGCGGATTTGAATGACGTTGTGACGTCGTATGTTGCAAAGGACCCAAGGCGAGTTCTCATACCCCAGCCACTGATGCCGATAGCCGGGCAGTAGCTACGCACCGCCACTCTTGGAAACATGGAAAATCAGTGGGGCACAAACTTACCTGTCGTCATCCCAGTAGATCTGTCTAGCTTGCAGATGCATCGTGGTAGCAGGGCAAATGATCAATCTGAAGGTACTCTGTAGGAGGTGAGGGAGGAAAGAGGCGCAGAGTAGAAGGGCGAGTGAGAGAGCAGAGCAGAAGGAATGACGAAGTGCATGGCCATATAAGCCGGAGCGGGCAAGGATCCGGCGGACGCTCAGCCACACACCAAGAGAGCAACCCCGCTTGGCACGACGTGGAAAGACTTTGGCCGCGCAGACGACTAACGGCGCCTGCGCCAGCATGGGTGACGACCACGACTACGACTACGACTACGAGCGCATTTGTGCCTGGGTGGTGCTAGCGCCAACGAGAAGGCTCTACTAAATGGGCGTTGAGGGGGGCAATGTTGGTGGAAACGTCGCTGCAGCCTTTTGGTTGCAGTACGTACTCAGCCCTGCAGGAAATGGTCCAGCTCGTCCGTTTCCACAACCCTTCCATACGTCATCTGACCAAAACACACCACCGCCCGGTCCGGCGCCGTATATACGGCGCTGGCTATTGCCGCATTGCAGCTTACGCAGCAGCATGAAACAACGAAACACATACGTGGACTGTAGAGGAGGGGAACATGTTTGTTCGTGTTTCCTCGATTGCATGCGCCTGTTTGAGGTTGAGATGTATGTATGTATGTTGTAGAGTAGTCGCATGGATCATGCTGTCTGTTGCGCTCGGGACGTATGCCGGGCCTAGTCCGAAAAGGAGCATTAGGCGTTGGAACTGGACGCTAGTGGTGTGAGACCAGTGGCGCGCCACTGCTGAGTTGTCTGTGGATTGGATTGCCCATGGACCTTTTTTGTACGAGATGGCGTTGGCCTTGTGGTCGACTTGTGATGTTGCAAGCATTGATGGATGAAGTGGAAGGGGCATGGTACCAGTACAATTGTATGTTACGTATGCGTACACCTACTATAATACAAGTAAGCTGACCCATGTTGCTACCACCAGTTGATGCTTACACATACTGACTGCATTTACACATCACTATAGATGCCTAGTATGGACATGTCCATGTATACGTAGTTTATACGTTTACATACATGTGCATATCTAGACACCGCAGTAGGAGTAGTCATAGTATACCGTTCCAACCCCACAATCCCTCACCCACGCCACCAGCATGCCCCAAAGCCGTTCACGCCAGACATGCCTCGCCCCGCCAGCTCATCGGTTCTGTGGGCTACGACCCTTGGGCAGGCCGGGGGGTTGCAGCGCTCGCGACGTGTCGGCCCAATGAGGGCCTCGGAGCGCAGCGTTGGCCGCAAGACGCTAATGCAGGATGAGTTGTTCAACTGGTGCTGGCATGGATTTGCCTGGGGCCCGCCAATCTGCCAGCCTGCATTGTGCGAAATAATAGTTGTTTGTCCCTCACCGTCGCTTCTCGTCGTTTTGTGCATTGGTCCTCTTCTCTCCTTGGGGCCCTTGCTGTCGTCTCTGCCCGTCAAGTCGTCGGCTCAAGCCTGTCTCTGCGCTTCCCCCTGCCACCCAAGTCGCTCTCCCGTCAAGCTGGCCCGTTTCAAACAATCACAGCCCGCCGAATCGCCCGCTCTGGAAGAAAAAAAAAACAAACAAAACCTACGAGGAGCTGCAATACCGGCGCCCGCAATTGCTTTCCGCCCTTCATCCTCCGCCCTATTCCCACACGCTGTCAGAACAAAACCCTGGCGTTCACGCGCCCCGGCGCACGAGGCTTTCGAGTCACGAGCAAACTCAACACACGGACTAGTCACCAGAGACTACAACATTCCATTCTACCGCTGCCACTCTCAGCTCACTCCCCATGGAGTCGCACAAGGGATCAAGCACGCCCAACTAAACCGTATCAAAAAAAACCCCCCCTTCTCGGACCTCCCCTCCCACACCTTCTCATCACTTCCTGACATCCACAACATGGTCGCTCCAATATAAAACAGTCAAAATCATACAGGATGAAACTTGGCCTGTCGCCGCAATACTGGTAATATAGAAGAAAAAAGCCGTAAACGAGTCGAGAGCTAAGGGGGAACTGGATTGGCCATCGCTAGCCTGCAGAGCGATCTGCCCGTCTTTTCTTCCATCAAGTCGTAAGAATCATTAAAGATATCGTAGAAAGCTGACGACCGTAACTCGTAAGAATCAAACCACGTCGGCGGCCGTAAAAAAGTTGCCATCAAAAAAGCACAAGCCCGAACCGAATGCGTTGCGAACGTCGTGTGGCCCACAAGACCCCGTCGGTCACGTTACCGCCCGATTGAATACAAACAACACAACTACCTCATTTGCTGGCCCGAGCAATCAGCCACTGCAACACAGCGTCCAGATTCGTCTCTTCCTTTGCGCTGATGCCGTAGCAGCTCACTTCGCGGTGCGACACTGACTTGAGGTCCAACGCCTCAATCAGCTCATCCACCGAAAGCTTGTTAGGCAAGTCCGACTTGTTGCCCAAGACAAGGAGCGGGATTCCCTCCAGAGCCGGCTTTTCCAGCAGCAGCTTGAGCTCCTCGCCAGCAACGGGCAAGGCCTCTTTGTCAGCCGAGTCGACGATGAACCTGTTCCGATAAGCACAAGTCGACCATCACATGCAAACCACACGTACACAATGGCATTTACCCCGCGGCAGTACCGCTCCCACATGGAACGAAACCTAGGCTGGCCTCCCAGGTCCCAACTGTTGCCCATGGTCAGCAGATGCGCCTTGGTCTAGCTCTCGTTCCCCCCACCCCGCAAGCCTCGCTCAAACGGGAATGGCGCTGCAAGAGCCGAACGTGCGTGACCTTGGACTGAGATGAAGAATACTTACCACTTCAAAGTGACATGGCCTTTCTGCACACGCTTCATGTTGAAGCCAACGGTGGGGATGGAGCTAGGGCCATTGTCAGCGCATGGACCCCACTACCATGACGCTCATGGTTGCGCGAAGCAGTAGCATCGCCATCGTCGTGAAACATTGTCGCCGTATGCTTGCGCACCTCGGGACAAATTCTAACTTACTCAACAGTGAACTCTCCGCCCTAGAAAACAATCAGTCAGCTCGCCACCCACCAGCATGAAGCACGGCAGAATGTCATCGTCATTCTCCGCATCAGGAAGCGACTCACCGCCAGAACCCTCAACAGCGACGTCTTGCCAGCGTTTTGCAGTCCTATCATGGTGATGTCCATCTCAGTCGCCCTAGATGATGTGAGCAGTCAGCGTCTTCCATCTCAAACCATCACCGCCCGTGACTTTGCGTTTCTTTTGAGGGGGTTGCTAGAGCCGGCCAGATGAGAGGCATCAAATAGCGCACGAGACATGCCAGGCGTGGGCTGGTGATGAACATAAAGCAGACAAGTAGGCGTACCAGAATAGGCGGAGCAGCCAGTCGTAGATGCGACGGAAGAGGTTCGCCATGGCCGTTGTCGCGATGGGATACTGACTCGATGGTGTTGCAGTCTGGTTGGGAGGATTGGTGATGTACGAGCGATGGAGGAAGCCTGGGAACCTTGATCCTTGCTGCGGGGCATGTAGTAGGCGTGATCGCCGGGTAGTTAGCAGTAGCAACCGCAGAATGACGACGGGTCAACCGCGACTGGAGATGCGGAGAGGTGCCAGGCAATGCTGTGAGGAAGTAGAGAAGCAGAGCTGTGCCGCCCTAACGAAAGCCAGGAGTGGTTCACGCTGCAGCACAGTGATGGAGCCGCCGCGGCGTGTGACTTTGGGCCCATGGCGCTAGACAGGGGTCTGCCGATGTGGCCTACCGGACTAGTCTAGGAAAAAAGTTCGAGATTGGCATCGCAACTTTCATCATCCATCGCCCTTGCAGCTTGCCGTGCACACCTCACAGCTTTGCCTGCTGCTGTCCCCCGAATTCGCTCGTCCATGACCCCGTGAGCTGCGCCATCTTTTCCTTCACTGTTTCTCAACTGCAGAGCACAGCCCACTCGCGGAAACCATGGCGCCTGCCGCAAGCACAACGAGCAAGCCACAGCCGCAGTGGTCGACAAAAGTAGGTCTTTGCCTATACTCTTTGCCTACCAGCAACTTAATTGCCCCAGTTCGACACTCTCAGGCGACACGATTTGTTCCGCAACCCGCCCAAGGACAAGACAGCCTACCCGACGCTCGCAGCCGCCGTCGATCCCCACATCAATTCGTTCAACGCCATCTTTGCTCCAGGCGGACAGCTGGCCGAAGGCATACGAGATATTGGCACCAAAGTTTTCCTTGACGGTAACCCATATGCCACGCCCGAGGAGACAGGTCCCCGCAACAGGCTGCACCTGCGCATACAGGATGTCTTCCTCGACAAGCCTGTCCTGCCACCCACCAACAAGGTCGCACTCAAGAACCGCAATATTCTTCCCGCAGAGACTCGCGAACGACACGCCACATACCGCGGCAAGATGCGCGCGCGGTTAGAGTGGAGGGTCAATAATGGCGATTGGCAGGAAGAGGTTGTTGATCTGGGCTCAATCCCCATTATGCTCAAGTCCAATCGCTGCCATCTCGAGGGCCTCCCACCAGCGGCTCTCGTCAAGGCCAAAGAGGAGAGCGACGAGCTTGGCGGCTACTTCATCATCAACGGCAATGAAAAAATCATCCGTATGCTCCAGGTCAACCACCGAAATTACCCCATGGCCATTAAGCGTGGCGCCTTCACCAATCGCGGTCCTGGTTACACTCAATTTGGTATCCAACTCCGATCGATGCGACCCGATCAAACATCACAAACAAATGCTCTACATTATCTCAGTGACGGCAACGTCAACTTCCGCTTCTCATGGCGCAAGGCTGTACGAACCACGTCCCTCGTTATTCAGTTTTGTGCTAATAATTTTCCCAGGAATACCTCGTTCCAATCTGCATGATCCTCAAAGCCTTGGTCGAAACGAACGATCGCGAAATATTCGAAGGCCTCGTAGGCGCAGCTGGATCTGAAGGTCTCGAACAGAAGCAGTTTGTAACAGACAGAGTAGAACTGCTGCTCCGGACATATAAGGTCTATGGTCTACACTCCAAGGCAAAGACTCGCGCATATCTGGGAGAAAAGTTCAAGGTCGTCATGCAGCTTCCAGCAGACGTCACGGACGAGGAAGCTGGCACTGAATTCCTCCGAAAAATTGTCCTTCCTCATCTGGGCTGTGTGAACGTTACTCCTGCTCAAGATGCGGACAAATTCCGCATGCTTCTCTTCATGACCAGAAAGCTCTATGCTCTGGTCGAAGGTGACTGTGCCGTTGACAATCCAGACGCTGTCCAGAATCAGGAAATTCTCCTAGGTGGACAACTGTACGGAATGATCCTGAAAGAGAGGCTGGAGGAATGGCTCAACAGCTTTCAGATTGTTTTGAGAGAATGGGGCAGGAGGACAGAGTACAGACCCTTTACATCACAGGAATTCCATAAAGACTGGTCTTCCAAGATATTGCGGCGGACACAATTGGCTATCGGTCAGGCTATGGAGTACTTTCTCAGTACCGGTAACCTCGTTTCGCCGGTAAGCGCTTTCTCAATTCACATGTTAACGACGACCCGCTGACCAGTATAATAGACTGGTCTCGATTTACAACAGACCTCCGGATTCGTGGTCGTAGCTGAAAAGCTCAACTTTCCAAGGCAAGTTATACACTTCTTCCACTGGCGCACCACTAACTTGTATATAGATTTATTTCGCATTTCAGAATGGTGCACAGAGGTGCCTTTTTCGCGACACTTAAGACGACGACGGTTCGGAAACTCCTTCCAGAATCTTGGGGCTTCATGTGTCCTGTCCATACCCCTGATGGTTCTCCTTGTGGACTTCTCAATCACTTCTCGCACACGTGCAAGATTGCGACGACCAACCTCGACGTCTCAGCGGTTCCCAAACTTGTCGCGGAGTTAGGTGTATCAAGTAAATCGTCCGCTTCTCTTGACGCAAGTGTGGTGGTACAGCTGGACGGTCGGGTGCTGGGCTTCTGTTCGCCAAAGCAAGCCAAAATTATTAGCGACACGCTGCGTTACTGGAAGGTTGAAGGCTCGCACGGCGTACCGGTCGAGATGGAGATTGGCTACATTCCAAACTCAAACAACGGTCAATATCCGGGAGTCTACATGTTCTCACAGTGCTCGAGAATGTACCGACCTGTCAAGTACCTGCCTCTCAACAAACTGGATTACGTTGGTCCGTTTGAGCAACCCTACATGTCCATCTCTGTTACGGACGCCGAGATTGTATCTGGAGACTCAACCCACGTTGAATTTGAGCCGACCAACATCTTCTCCATCATCGCCAACCAGACTCCGTTCTCCGATTTCAATCAGTCACCAAGAAACATGTACCAATGTCAGATGGGAAAGCAATCTATGGGTACACCGGGAACTGCCATGAGATATCGAACAGACAACAAGACCTACCGCTTGCAGACAGGTCAGACTCCCATTGCCAGACCTCCATTGTATAACGAGTATGGAATGGACAACTTCCCCAACGGTATGAACGCCGTTGTGGCCGTTATTTCCTACACTGGTTACGACATGGACGACGCTATGATTTTGAACAAGTCATCACACGAGCGCGGGTTTGGCCACGGTACGGTCTATAAGACCAAGATTTTAAATCTCGAGGAAGGAAACCGCAAGAGTCGATCAAATAAGTCAATAGCTAAGCTTTTCGGCTTTGCACCCGAGGGTCTCATCAAAGCAGAGTCGAAGGAGACTCTTGACATTGATGGTTTACCTCGCATCGGGACCATGCTGCGGTCTGGCGATCCAATCGCAGCATTCCACACTGTCTCATATGACGCAGCTACCGGCGACTATGTGAATCGCGATGGACAGACTCAATTCCTCAAGTACAAGGAGGACGAAATTGCTTTCGTCGAGGAAGTCCGCGTCATTGGCTCAGAAGACGGGACTCAGCCTTGTCAAAAGGTCTCAGTCAAGCTGCGAACGCCACGTTCTCCCGTTGTCGGAGACAAGTTCTCTTCTCGTCACGGTCAGAAGGGTGTCGTGTCTCAGAAGTTCCCAACCACTGACATGCCGTTCTCCGAATCCGGCATACAACCAGATGTCATCATTAACCCCCACGCTTTCCCGTCCCGTATGACAATCGGCATGTTTATCGAATCACTGGCTGGAAAATCTGGAGCGCTCCACGGCATGGCGCAGGATTCAACGCCGTTCAAATTCGACGAGCAGAACACAGCCGTCGACTACTTTGGTGCGCAGCTGAAAGCCGCAGGCTACAACTACTATGGAAACGAACCAATGTACTCGGGAATCACCGGCGAGGAACTTTACGCTGATATCTATATTGGAGTCGTATTCTACCAACGTCTTCGTCACATGGTCAACGACAAATTCCAAGTCCGAAGCAACGGTCCATCCAACGCACTAACGGGCCAGCCCATCAAGGGTAGGAAGAAGGGTGGTGGTATCCGTGTTGGAGAAATGGAGCGCGACGCTCTGTTAGCCCACGGCACTGCCTTCCTCCTCCAAGATCGACTGATGAACTGCTCCGATTACACCAAGGCAGCGGTCTGCAGGACCTGCGGCTCCTTCCTCAGCACCACACCCACTGTCAGCGAGTATGGCCGCAAAAAGGATAGAAACGGCAAGGACGTCACTATTCGCTGCAGGCGCTGTGCCAAGCTTGCTGATGGCAACGATAACGACGTCTGGATGGACGCACAGGGCTTGCGCTACTCTGGTGGCGAAGATGTCGCGATTGTGGCTGTGCCTGGTGTCCTCAAGTATCTTGACGTTGAACTGTCTAGTATGGGTATTCGGCTCAAGTACAACGTGGATCCTTAGACTCACAGTGGAAGATATGGTTGAATTCGGAGTTGACTTATCATGCTGCGTTTTCTTTTTTGTTTTCCGTCATCTCGGCGTTGAGAAAGAATGAGGTTATGCCGGATTACTTTGGGGGAGGGGGAAAAAAAGTTTAATGACTTTTACTCTTTTTTTAGCATTGCATTTGCCTGGAGTAAATGGTGCTAGATTAGTATATTTCAATAGATTCTTATGTTTGAAATTCCTTCCGTTGCCCCATTCTCGCCATAAGGCTAGTCGTCACAGTGTTTACAAACATTCGTGGTGAAGGAGACAATTTTTTTTTAAAAAAAAAGAATAAAAGTTTGAATGACTTTGGCTTCTCTCGCGAACGATGCAGTGGTTTTTTTTTAAAAAAAAAATAAAAATAAAAATAAAAAAAGTGAGAAATTTCAGAAGAGCTTCTGTGGGACTAAAGCTTGAAAACCTCTACTACGATACAACTCAAAGATGTGAAGATGAATCGGGTTTAATACTGGATTGTTTTTTATATAATGATTATTGTATTAACTATACGGCTTTCTCTATCAGCGAGACGTAGTATTTTATCCTCGCCATCTTTTATACAATAGTTAAATGAGAAGAATAGAAAGCTTCTTTAATATTAAAATTTAGACACCTTTCTATGAATGAAAAGTTCTAAGAAAAGAAAGATCTAATTTCAATATAGAAAAAAAAATCTTTAGAATTAGTTTTCTGAGTTTTAGAGTAACTTTTAGCTTAGAGGAAGAGAGATGTAAACTCTTAATCCTGTAAACTCCTTAGTATTGTGGTTAAAGAATTTTTGACATATAGAAGAAAACATATTACGCTACCTCTGCTTGTTTTACATATATATTCTTCTATGGAATGGGTGGAGAGGGTGCTGTACTCACGAGTTCTACCCGAGTAGACAACGGCTAGTTTCCTTCTCTTCCTCTTAGCAGCTAAGTCTTGTCAGATTTAGAGGAATTGTATTAAGAGAATATTATGAGATTGAGCTCCGTAAATGGCATGTCCATCTACTGTATATGAATATTTACATCTTACACTCCTGTCCTTGGATCGGAGTGTGTATACAAGGGTCGCTAGCGACCCTTGTGCACCGGCACACTATGCCTATACTTATACTGTGGTGTAATATCAAGTGATCAGACTGCGGATATGTATTGTGATTTCTTTTCGTATGTAGATAGGTACTTTCCTCAATCAATTCTTTGCTTGCAATTGGATTACAGCTTTGTTCTACCAGCTTGATCACGTATCGTGCCACAATACAAAGGCCTCGGACATTTAAATACTGAGCCAAAGCTCAAGAGCCTCCTTATACTTCAACGCCCCAAGACCAGTAACAGCATTCCATCCAACAGTAGTCGGATAACCGGTAGAGTTGCAACCTTTGTTGCTCTCCCCTTCGGTGATATCTCGAACAATATGATCCGCGTATTTGTACAGGACAGGATTGATAAACCCGACGACCGGCTTGCCCACGGCCAAACGCTCCAAATTAATACGCGAAATCATAGCGGCAACATACTGTGCCGGCACTGAGGTCCCGCCTACTTGGTAGAGGACTCCTTGGTCAATGATGTAGTTGGATGAAACAGTGGCAATGCCGGAGAGGTCGGGCATCCCGCGGCCAGAGAGACTACGGACACCGTCTTTCCCGAACTCCGAGATGACGTCTGACAGTAGAGTGTTGTTCGCAACCAAAGGAGCTATGCCCGTGAACCCGGGCTTGTCCAATGATGCTTTCGCAAGGTAGTTGCTAACGGAAGGTTGTTGCCACTTCGGCCGGGCGTAGATTGCGGAAATGCCACCGCCGCTCCAGGAAAAACCGAGCTCTGGATTTTCGCCGTGAGGGTTACGGATATCGACTCCGTCTTTGAGCATTGTCCCGCCGACAGAGGTTACGTAGGGACAATTGGCTGGGGTGGCGACGGTCCAGCGGTCGTTGTTGGAGCCCCAGCAATCGGGACTTTTGCTTGAGACGCCCCAGTCGCCAGTTGAGATGACGACGGTTGTGCCTTGGAGGGCAAGTTTCATGAACTCGTTGCATTGCCTGCGTTGGAAGGAACTAGCAGGTCGGAATTTGAATTAGAAAGAGGGGTAAACAAAGAGGCGTTTTGGGTCCGTATATCACGATCAACTTACATGGGATAAAAGTCCTCCGTTGCTCCCCAAGAGCTAACAAGCACAGATGGCGGCTTCACTCCTCCACACTGTCTTTGACCCTTATATCCGCCTTTTGCCGCATTCGGGTATTGCGCTTCCCAGCCTGGTAGCGCTCCAGTCACGTTGTAAGCGCTATACGTGCAGTACGACCCTACAAAATTCCCCTTGGTTCCTTGATTTCATCGAAAATGCAAGCGAACGTTTCGTCTCTTACTTACCGTCAAAGGCATCCAGCAAACTATTAGCACCGCCCCTCAACACCGGATCGACCTGAATGACGGGATCATCCGGACTGATAATCGTTACTGTATTCGGAGACACCAAGGGTATAGTCAAGGAGAGATTGATAAAGACGTCACCAGCAGATGTATTTTTAGACCTTGGGTCAGGTGCACCATCGATGAGAATCTGTTTAGGTACAATACCCTTTGGCACTTCCGGCGCAAACGCCGACCAAAAGATTTCGAGATCTTCTTGCTTGTACTTTTCAATTCCATTAGCATATATAGCATGTGTATACTTGGGATTCCACGGCGCAGGTTTGTGAGGGATACCGTAGAGATCGCGAATACACGCTGGCTCCAATGCGGAGTGGTTGTTTGTGCACGGTACGGTGGTTTTAGTTCCAAGGTTCGATTCTAGCTGAAGAGGTACTACGGGGATACCGCCCTGTTGCGTGACTGGACGCACGTCTGGGACGCCTCGCTTTCGCAACGAAGCGTTGCTGTCAGACTCCATCTCGTGGGATAAGATGATTCCGGGCCATATGAAATCGACGTGTTCGACAACGCTGACGGGAACGTAGTACGCTTCTGTCGCTGCGACCGTACGCCCAGAATCAGTATGGTGGTAGTGGTGGAATTCAGTCCCTAGCAAGTCTTCCAACTGCTGTACTGTTGCTGAAAATTCGATCCAGGCTTTGTTCTTCGACTGTGTGATAGGCTTGGTCAGGTCGGCCACCGGAAGAAATTCTTCGAGCCACTGCTGGACCGTTGTGACGGCTTCTTCGCTTGGGCTGAAGAAGCTATGGACTTGTTCTTTTGTCCAGTGCTGGCCGTAACGTGGCGAGTCTGGGTCTGATACTGCCATCAAGAGCTCTTCACCTTGCTCTAATCCGTTCTGTGCAATTGCAATTCGAACAGGGTGAATGATGTCTGGGTTCAGACGATCGCCTTTCTGCCACCCGGAGGGCAAAGAGCGACGTTCTTCGTGCAAGACATGGCCGCGCTGTGCCAGGGAGGCGTGAGATAAAGTTATTCCAGTGACAAAAAGCCACAGAATCTGGTGGAGACTAGTCGATGCCATACTTGTCTTGTGCGTACCAAAGAGGTACAAACAGCTGGCTTGTGGTTGAAAGGTGCTTTGGCTACTCTTGTGAGGTTCGTTTGTGTTGGTGAGTGAGACTCTGACACTTCCACGAAATCTGGCTTGCTCGATTTAAATAAGCGGTCAAGACAGCTTGACGTGGAATAATCCATGCTCAAATTCGAGCATTCATTCGATAATGAGCCTGCTGACCTTGCTCGTAGGAAATGGGTGGGCTGACTCTGGGTATTAAGGTTGATGTAATAAACCTTATGACACATATGATGATAGTTATGTAATTCAGTCTTGTATAGTATATATATTCTCTACTATAGCGACTTCGGGAGGGGCTAAGCTCAAAGAGCTAGACTTGGGCAATGCCAGGTAACGACGTTGTGTTGGATAAAGAACTGAGCTCTAGGCTACCCAGCTACCCATGTGAACATAGACGTTAGTTAATCAAGAAGAAAATTCTCAGAAAGCTTCTTTGGCATGGAATTTCAAACGCCTCGTCACTTTCATATAGCTTAGAAATTCAAAAAAAAATAGTTTTAATATTAAGTTCTTCTTTGCTAAATATTTGCTTTGTATTGAGAGAAAGAGAAGAGCTTAGAATAGACTAGTAGCAACAATGGTGTCTATTTATTGATCATGCTTCGCCCGAGTGTTAGTAGACTATCACGTTTTGAAAGAATTAGAACAACGACCGAGAAAATACAAAGATGCGTATAATTGTCATGTCTATTACTTGGAACAATGTTTTATGCGTGATTCTGTGCAGTACAGGAGGGTATCGTAATGACTCATCCCATAGCCGATTTTCCATAAATGGCCAAATAAAAAAACTCCTGTACTATGCTACCACCCAATCATACGCCGTTTGTGCTACTTTTTTCTTCGTGCTCTCGTCAATGTGTCAATGCTGTGGCTGTTCCTGTTCTTCAGTATAATCAGCCGCTTCTTTCTGCTCCGCCTCGCTTTCTTCGTCAACCTTGGCAAGGAAGGGATGCTCCAAAGCCTCAGCAGCCGTGATTCGCTTTGCTGGGTTACATTCCAAAAGGCGGTGCAAGAACTGGACGGCTTCCTTCTCTTCTTCCTCAAGCTCCTTCTTGGGCTGGGTCTTGTCGCCTGTCCGACCTGTGCACCAAAGGATAATCTTCTCTAGGCTGTGACCGCCTTCACTGTAGCTAGGTATGTTCGTCTCAAAGACTTGGCCATGTAGGAGTGCTGTCTCCCGCATCTTCTTTCTTCCAAATATAGTGGTGATCTCGAGCAGCGCATCAATGTCGTCTGCGCTGTGAAAGAAGGGAAAGCGATGCGAGAGCATGGTCAAGAGTATGACTCCCACACTCCATACATCGATAGAACAGGTCTGTTGAGTGCATTTCAGAAGCACTTCAGGGGCACGGAAGCCACGAGTGCCCGCTCGGTTGGCGCGTCTGCTGTTACGAGTGTCGTTCTTGGGATAGGCGGAAGCATTGTGGCCTGCTGATTGCGTTTGGGCGTAGACGCTGTGGGATACCCTATAGCGACGGTCCTCTTCGTTCAAGTGGCAGGCACAGTTGTGCCAATCTGTGCCTTCACGTTCAGCAAGGCCAAAATCGACCAGGACGCCACGAGATTGCGATGTGTTGTAGAGAAAGTTGGTAGGCTTGACATCACGGTGAATAATGCCTTTCTTGTGGACTGCCGCAAGAGCAGTGAACAAACTTCGAAAGTAGAAGCGCATATCGGAAATCTTCATGTCGCGGTAGTAATCTCGAAAGTCGCGATGCTGAAAGTAAGGTAGCACGGCAGCCACCTGGTCCAAGTGACGAAAAGCGGTGATGAGGGGGCACACTGAGTCTGAATCTCTCAGATCGTAGAGAAGCTCGAGCTCGTTGAAGATACGTATCGGACTGCTGGTAACGTAGATCTTCTTGATGGCTACATAGTGGGGACGGCGGGTGGACTGCTTCCTGCGCAAAGGGGACATGCCCTTGTTCTTTTCCCGCTCGTCAATGTCCCAGTCGTTTCTGTATTTTTCGTACTCGAGATCTTCAGCTTTGTAGACAGTAGAGAAGGTTCCTGTGAAGAAGTGTGAGCGACCCCCGGTACCCTGCATGACTGCAAGCCAATAATGGGGGACATACCCTCTCCAATGCGGTTGATTAGTCGAAAGCGCTTGCTGATACCGACAAATGTCTCTTCGAAGCGCGCCATGTCCTCCTGGACGGAATCCTCGACTTCCTCGTCACTACTGTCGACTGTTTGTCCACTCTCGTCAAGCGGATCCATGCTTTCGTCCATAGTCTCTTCCGCTTCTTCTGCCTTTATAGAGTCTTCGTGGACGTCAATGGCCTCTGCATTCCGCAGTGAAGTGCGTGCCTTTGCCATGGGAGGAGTGTAGGTTTGTAAGTGGCCTTCTTATGGTGTGCAGAATGATGCGCGAGTCTCTGCACAGCGTTTGGGAGACGCGTTCCGCGATTGAACCCTGGATGATTACTAGGCCGGAAGGGGAAGCATGATGACAATGCGCACAGGCCAATAAACACATGCAACGCGCTTTCCCGCCAAGTGAGACGACGGCCCGCATTTGTCCCTTTCTCTTGAGCAAACAACCCCACCCTCGACGACCCTTTCGTCGCTTCTTTTTGTTTTGGCCTTCTCGTCTTTTGGTTCCGCAAGCAATTCTGACCATCATGGATGCGCGCGTGGAATTCGACATCAATGAGGCGGTCAAGCTGTTCGACAGCGACCCTTCGACGATCCCCACGCCCGAGGCCCCGCAAGCGCTACAAGACTGCGAAGATGAGCCAGAAGCGCTGTCGTCGCCCGGATTGATCAACAGCGAGCTGAATCCTGTGGTTGATGCCGTGGCAGAGAGCCCAGATGCGATTACTCGCAGCTCTGTCTTTGATACTCTACAGTTTCTGCTGAAGTGCGTTCCCGCATATCCAAAGCACGCAAAAACATATGACACAGAACCTAACCGTAAACTCTTCCGGCTCTCTAGGCACTCATCGCAGATTCCTCCCGCAATTCTCAGCAAGATTCTCGACCTCATATCCTCCGCATTGTCTACACAAGCCGATATAATACACGCAGACCTCGAGGCCGAAGAGCAAGATGCGATACTTCACCATAAGAATCTACTCGAAATGTATGGATTCCTTCTACGTTGGACCATCTCCGCAGTGGAGACAAGAGCGCTAGAGAAATCCGCCTCTGCCCCAGCAGCGCGGGGGCGGGGTAAAACTACAAAGACAAAAACTGGCGGAGGCAAAGAGAGCGCCTGGGATGCCTCTGCCCAATTAGAGACGGCATTGGACCGAATGAGCAAGGTGCTTAGACTCAAGCTGGGCCGCATATTCGTCACCACATCAGAGCGAGATACGTTCATCGGCCTATTCACAAAGCCGGTGTACCACATCCTCGAGAATGAGGCAAGAGTCAAGAACAATGCCATACGGAATCATTGTTTTAGAGTCTTGTGTTTTGCCGTCAAATCACATGGACATGCATACAGTAGGTACACCAGGACCCGATAAAGTGCATCTACTGACAACTATGATAGCCGCGCAAACGTCGATCAACCAGAGTCTGACATATTTTGAGCATCTTTCAGAGCCCATGGCAGAGTTTCTCTTCACACTTGCAGATGCTTTTGATTACCCACAGCTCACCGAAGATGTCTTGAAAGATATCAGCAGCAAGGAGTTCAGTTCCACAGATCTCAAAGGTCCAAAGTCTATCTCGACTTTCCTTACCAAGATTTCTGAACTCACACCACATCTCGTCATCCGACAGATGACACTGCTTGCAAACCTGCTAGATAGCGAGTCGTATACCTTGCGCTGCGCCCTCATCGAAGTCTGCGGAAACCTCATAACCATGCTTAGCAAGCTGAGTCAAGACGACCGCAGCGAAAATCACAAGGCGCAGATCCGAATTTTCTTCGATGTGCTGGAAGATCGCTTCCTCGACATTAACCCCTATTGTCGTGCTAGGGTAATGCAGGTTTACGTTAAGCTTTGTGATCTAGAGCAGAAGTACCCCAAACGCAGACAAAAGGTCGCCGAACTTGCTGCTCGCAGTCTTGAAGACAAAAGTAGTAACGTTCGCCGAAATGCAATTAAGCTGCTTGCTAAACTCATCTCAACACATCCCTTCACGGCGTTTGATGGAGGATTGCTGTCGACAAAGGACTGGACTAAGCGATTGGAGGAATGTGAAGCCCAAATCAATGCCCTGCAGCCTCCAGAAGAGTTGAGGGAACGCCCACCGAGTGATCAAACGGTCGATGAGACACTGCTGCAGGATGCAACACAGGCTGATGTTGGGGATGAGGAAGGACCGAAGCATCCATCTGAGATGAGCGAAGAGGAGAAGGCTGCCGCCATCGAAAAAGCTCAGAAAGACGCGGCCACCGCGCAAGAGCTGGAAAAATTTCAAGCAGTACGCAAGTTCCTGCTCGAAGCACTCAAGTTCATTGAGGTCATCAACGATGCTGCTGAGATCATAACTCAGTTACTGTCATCCAAAAATAAGAGCGAAGTCATCGAAGCCATGGACTTCTTCACCACTATCGATGCGTACAAGATTGCAAATGCAAAGCTTGGTATCCGGAGAATGTTACGACTCATTTGGACCAAAGGCAACAGTGACGAAGGCAAGGGTGTGCAGACTCATCTACTTGAATGCTACAAGGGCTTGTTCTTTGACGCACCGCCCGGATTCGATGACAATGCGGTTGCAAACTATATTTCAAAGAACATGATCAGTTTGACTTTCGGTACAACGCCGGCAGAACTGACGTCCCTCGAGCAGCTTCTCAGTACGATGATGAAGCAGGGCCTGGTCAACGGATTAGTCATTCAGAAGCTTTGGCAGATCTATGGCTACCAGAAGAAAGATATCTCCAAGAATCAGCGCCGAGGAGCTATCATCGTTCTGGGTATGCTGGCACTTTCCACACCCGACATTGTAGTGCAGGAAATGGAGACCTGCCTTAAGATTGG